CTCGTATATTATACGTATGCATATTGAGGAGCTTTTTGCCTCCGAACAAGAGATAATTGAAACCTTTTTTTGGGTGCGCGTGATATTTCGTATGATTTAACGGGATTGAATGTGTGCTTAACAAATATGTTCATTATATTGAGTGGATGTGAGGAAATATAATCAGATCTTGTACACAATTCTTTGTTGGTGTCGAATACATGTGCATAATATGGAGAACCTAAAATGTTTATGCCAAAAAAGATGACTAAATGATTTTAACAATTTTTCCTGTTATTTGCGCTTTGGATATGTAGACGGAGCAGAGAAGGTTGTAGACCTAGAGAGAGATGAGAGAATGTGAAATTGGAATAATTTATTAGAAAATTGTGGATCGTTGATGAATGGAATAATTCAAGGGCATAATAGGTTGTAAAAAATTATAAATTATTTAGGTTGTAAATATAATGGTCCCTATTATTATATATCTTAAATCTTAATTACATGATAACAGATCAACAATAATTATTTTTTAAGAACAAGTTTAGAGTGGGGGAAGACACATTTTAATGCAAGACCAAAGGAGAATATCAATGTCATTGAAGATTTAAAGTAAAATGATATATCATTTATTAAAAAGAAAAAAACTAAAAATCCAACCCACGCGAAATATTCGACTAAATACGTGAACCCTCATGATAAGCAATTTTAATGATAAAATTCATAAAATGAAAAAAAAAAAATCATTAAATCCCCATCATGGTTATAATTCAACGGTAGGTATATCCATTATAAACATAACATGTGAAAATCAGGTATGATACTACGGACTAACGAGAATTTGAAAATGAAATTGTGTGATGTTTGATTAAAAAAAAAAATATATCGGAGGCAAGTATACACCTAACAGCGAGTGGCTATCGTTAGCCCATACCTACGGGGGATAATTGGAGCAAACTTTTAGTACCACCATTACACTAAATTTAGTGGGATGGTAATTTATTTATATTATGATACGTTAGGCGGAATTTGGAATTATAAAATTTTGTACAGAATTTATCTATGTATTTTAGAATAAATGAACTTCAATGCATTGATAATATTGAAGATTTTTCTCTATAATTGGGGAAATTTACATCTTCCCTCTCTCCCCATAAATGAAAATATTTTTAGTGGCACGGAAAAAATATCAGTATTAACCAATGCAGTTCTCAAGAATTAATATATTATTTTAATATTAGTATATTAAAATAAAAAATAATTTTTTGTTATACAAATTTTTAAAATATTGGAGATTTTTATTTTTTTAAAAATTAATATATTTTTTGGACACACTGTTCAACATATTTCTATAAAAAATAATATCATCTGATATATTTGGAAGAATTATGTAAATTCATTATTAAAAGGTATTTTTGACAAAAATATTTATTTTTAACCTATCTAGTATTATACAGTGTATTATCAAACATTAGATGATATTATCTTATACAATATATTATCTTATACAATATCATGTCAAACGTTGAATAATATTAAAATTTAATCAGGTCTTATACAATTAGGTCTTATCCTATACTATATACCAAACATGTCCTAAGTCACATCACTTTATTTATTATATTACTTTTATTTATATATTTATTACATATATTTACATAATTTTAATTTAATCGATTGAACTAGCATTCCATTCATACACTATTGTGATTAAGTCCATAACTGATCCAGATTTAATAACATTATCCGAAAGAAATAAAGAAATAAAAACAACATAAAACCTAGAATAGAATTAAATCATTCAAAATGAGTTAAAAATAGATAATGCTTGCTGAGCTTCTCGCCCTATATAGATTGGCCGATCACTGCCCTTACAAAAAGAAATATTATTTTTGTTTTAAATATTTTATATATATATAAATTGGTGAAAATGACATATTACTATTTGTTTTACAAATTCTTAAAAATAAGAAATAAAATAAAAATAGAGCAACACTTGTAGAATTTTTAATAAAATTCTATCAATTAAAAGTGAAAACAAAACAAAAACTAACACCAAGCTAACACATCCATCAAATTCAGTGTCCATTGAGAGACCCACTGTTTTTATTATAATAATTCTCGGGCCATGTAGGATATGCATCACAATATTTTCAAAAATAATTTTTATTCAATTCTTAGTTTAAGAATTATAAATGGTTAAAAATTATGATTGATAAAATAAATTTATTTATTTTTCTTGTAGAGAATGAACCAATTTTTTTAGAATAAAAATTTAAAAATATTATTTTTGTGAGAGGTAAACTTAATTAAAGAAATAAGTATCCCTTTTTCTATCAAATAACATATTATTTGGTAATTATATCACTAAATTAATATATTTGTGATTACTAATATAATGAGAAAAGACACAAACTACAAAACAACAAAATGTAATTTTTTATTTTGTTTGTGGCTATATTAAAGTTTTTTTTTTTCCTTTCAAATAAACATTAAAAGTGTATATTGGACAAAAAATGTATATTTTATTTTTTCATACAACTACAGCAGATTATTGTAACATGTTAATTTTGAATTTTTAAAAGTCAAAGTAATTAAAAAATTTATATTTAAACAATCGGAATTCAGATTTACATTATCAAGAAAAAAAGATTAAAAAAATATTTTATTACTTATAATAGATTAAAATAATTATTAATTCAATGTTAATTAAATTTTTAATTTTCAATAAAAATTGTTATTCACAATCATAATATATATATACATATGCTTGATATTTGAATTAACTTATTTAAAATTTGGAAATTAAGAGTAATCAATATACTATTGTTAAAAAACATAGGAGAAATTTTATTACTTAAATTAAAGCCAATCATTATAAGTGAAATTTGATTTTTTTAAACTAAAATTAGAATACAAAAAATAATTATATTAAGTGATCTGAGTGAAATTAGAAAAAAAAAAAATTATACATATATAATTGACCTGTAACATTAATTTCACTTACATAAACTCTCTTTTATCTAATAATGTATAGATAGACCATTAACAAAAGTAAGTTACATATAGAAATGTATAATCTTATCCGAATCTTGTAAACTAATTCCATCAATTCAAGTCGGCTCATACATTGCATGTTACTTATCATATTTGGACAATATAAAAATTTATATAACAAGTTAACATCATATGTTGAAGATCGAGCTATAGCCGAAGTCTTGGGGATGTTGAAGAACATGGTATTGTCTTTTTCTCTATTTAAACTTAGCCCATTTAATATAGAACTATGCAGACAAATAGTAGCAAGTTATATGGTTTTCTTTTGTGTCACGTTCTTTTGATAAAATATTTACTTTTTTTTCCTTAACGAAAGAAAAATAAATGAAGGGAACTTTCAAAAGATGTGATTAAGGAAAAAGAAAAGATGAGAAGAAATTGTGTTCTTCTTAATAGTTCACTAGATTATTATATAATATATCAACAATCATTAATTCAAATAAGAATATGAGTTCTTGAAATGGAGAAAATGATCTTGGAAGAACCACACCCCAATATAATTCCGACCAGATTTGAACAGGATTAAGTTGAATAATGGATAAACAAGAAGAGAAAAAAAAATTATCTCATTGTATAATACTGGGTGTGCATGATAACCTTCCCGGAATCAATTTTTTTTTTAATTTTTGTTCCCGGGAAGAGAAATGGATAGAAAACTCGTTTGGTAAAACCGATTTATTTTTTTGTTCCCGGGATGAACTAGTTTAATTTTTGTGTTGGGGAACAAAAATAAGAATCAAATTTTTTTTGCTTTTTTGTTCCTGAGCACAAAATGAGAAACACTTATTTCTCTCAATCGCTCTCCACCACTATCATCATCATCATCATCATCACCACCATCATCCTGACACGATCATCGCCACTATCATCGCCGCCATCGATACCACCAATGTCGTCGTCACCACCATCACCACCACCACGACGATGCCACTGCCACCATCATCACCACCACCATGACGATGCCATGCCACCACCACCGCCACCACCATCACTACCATCACTGTCGCCACCACCACCATCAACGCAGCCACTGCTGTCACCATCACCACCACGCCATCGCCACCACCATTTCAACCACTGTCACCAACCACCACTCTACCATCGCCGCAGCCACTGCCATCACCACCACCACCACGCCATCGCCACCAACCACCACCACTATCGTCGCAGCCACTGCCGTCACCACCACCACCATGCCACCACTACCACCACCAGTATGCCGTCATCATTACACCGCCATCGCCGCAATCACTGCAGTCACTGCCACCATCACTGGTGCCGCCACCACACCATATGGAAAGGAAAGTGATGATCTAAAAAAAATTTATGGTTAATAGGAATTATTTTTTATTATATTATTTGTTGTGTTATCAAATGCAATTCTTATTCTCAGAATAAAAATAGAATATGTTATCAAACATATTTGTTTTCTCAGAAACTGTTCCAAAGCACAGAAATAGAAAATAATTGTTTCTTTTCAGAAACAATGCTATAAAACAGAATGATTGTCATACACATCCTTAAAGTAAGAGAACATGAAAGAAGTCCAACTATATATAATATTATTATTAATCAAAGGATTAATAGTTTTTTCAATTTAGAAGATAAACCGACCTATAATTGATTCCTATTATGTTTGGCCCGCTAATTAAGCAATGTTGTTAAGCACCCACTCCCCCATGTGCCTTAGCCCTTACCAAAATCAGCAGAAAAGACAAATGCCCATATTTTCTTCCATGTTCTCATAACTCATTGTCATTCCTGTTCCCTCAAGTCTTAATTTTTTGCCACACAAGGACGGTTTTGTATTTTATTCATGCCTTTCTTTGTCCTTTTACACGCTTTCTACCAGTATATAAGGGCCTAACCACATCAACTTCTCTTTCAGTTCTTCCAAAGAGATCACAATAGAGCTTGAGTAAAAGAAAAAACAAAAAGGGCTAGAGAGAAAAAGAAAGGAAAAGATGATCAAGTTGAGGTCAAAGAGGTTTGGTAGAAGCAGTTCCAAGCTTAAAGCAGCATCCTCAGCAGACAAAGATTGTAGAAATTTTAGTGAAATCAAATGGGAACTTAGGCCTGGTGGCATGCTTGTTCAAAAAAGGGAAAGCAACCAAAGTGAAGGGGAGGGAATGATCACAGTTAGAGTCTCAACTGTGTCACAATGGCATGACATTTCTATTGAAGCAACTTCAACTTTTGGTTAGTCTCAACCCCTTCATTTTTCTCTTGTAAATGACTTTTGATTTTGGCTACAATTCAAAAAATTTCAGACCCCCAAATCTTTAATCCTATGTTTATGACCCCAAAGTTTCATTTTTTTGCATTATAAGAGAGAATCCTGAAGTGGGTATTTGACAAAATTTGTAATCACTATTAACTTGCAGGTGAATTAAAAATGATTCTATCACTAGTAACAAGTATGGAGCCAAGAGAGCAGAGGCTTCTCTTCAGAGGTAAAGAGAAAGATGACAATGAATTTCTACACATGGTTGGGGTTAGAGACAAGGACAAGGTTTTGTTGCTAGAGGATCCAGCTATCAAGGAGAAGAAGAAGCTTCTTGGCTTGGCAAGAAACCAACCCATTAACAATCCTTGTTGTACAACCATCAGTGTATGATTATTCTAATTGATCAAGCTCATTATTAATTAGTACTAACCAGAAAAAAGAAAAAAGTGATGTAAGTTTAATGTAATGATGATGGGTCTTTCTTCACTTTTGTTTGTCTTGGATTAGAAACTCAATTATGTACTTATGTGGTTGTTGGACCCTTTGGTTGAATTAAAAATGTGTAAGCTAATGCAATGCTATGTCATTTTGCAGAGTTTGCCTTGTTAATATAAGTGTTGATTCCTTTTGTATTGTATATATATTTTTATTATATGGTTTGTGTTTCTATTATTCAATTATTATAAACCCATGCGTGCACGCCGACACCAAAGAAAGATTAACAATGCTAGAAGTAAGGTGGAAGCTTTGCTAAGGTTGGGACAATAATCTCAAAAAATGGCACATTATGGGTTTTAAAGTTCAAGTTGTTGGGGCTAAAGGTTGGTTTTATTAATAATAATGTTAAAAGGTAACCTTTTTGTGTTTTACAAGAGCTCAAAGTGGGAGGCAAGAGGTCCCATGACAGGCATGGAGTTCTCTTACTTTGGATGCAACTACAATTAGATTGACCAAAATCAATTTTAGGTCCTGATAATGCATTTTCTTGTTTTGATAAGTTTTTTTTGCAAAAATAAATAAATTTACGACAACACTTTTCTTATTAAGTTTTTTTTTCCGGTAAACTATTAAGTTTTTAATATAACTACATAGTTGAGACGCAAATTCGAAATTTAAATAAACTCCCACTAATTGGACAATATATTTGGTAATTATCACAGTCTGTTTGAAGAAAGGGATGGTGTGATTGAAGCCATATCAATAGGTAATTGCAAGAGAAACCATATCTAGGAGCTATTTAAACAACAAAACAAACTTAATTCTCTTCTTTGGATTTAGATATAATTATAAGATTGAAAATTATTTGAACTAATATCTAAAATTTGATGAATTATATTAACTTGTATTAATTGAATTTTGATAAATTACCTTAAATTTGTATTTGATGTATTATTGTCGAGATGTATATTTTTTATAATTGAAAAGATTTAATTTTTGATTTGATTGACCAATTTATGTTGCAATTAAAGGGAATTCGTTAATGGAGAGATTGTAGGAATTATGTGGAGAGATTTTAAGAGTTTTTAATTTCCTAATTATTTGTAATTTTCTTCCTTGATTTATGGCTGATTTGTAGCCTGATTTATGACGGATTTGTAACTCTTAAACTTTATATACAATGACCTCTATTGAGGTAGAAGAAATACGAATGAATTACTATTCTATAGAGTTCCTTGATTTGTAACATAGTATCAGAGCCTATGTTCTAATCCAGCGAAGGGACTGCGAAAGCAGTCTTGTAACACCCCGTAGTACTCCGGTTGTTAACATACATGATATTTAACATTCACAGCGGAAGACTTTATTTGAAAAGGAATAAAGCATCTTATAAAAATACGAGTAAACTTTTTCCAAAACATTTCATAAAAACATTTCTAAAAACGTTCACGTCAGATACTGCGAAAGCGTAAATCTAAATATACATCTACTAATTAATCCCATGAGCCAGTATTAGTGGCCATTGACCATCAAGATATGACATCAAGTGTCATTCCTGACGGAGTCTCACGGACAGCATAACGGCTGTATTTCGGATAACTAGAAACATGATTCTACACATACAGATAACCTAATTAATACAACAATTTAAACAGATAGCTTGCAAGTCCCACACGGACTGCAATCCCCTTAATGGGTCAATACAACTAATAAGGCTCCATGCCCAAATTAACTGAATACATGCATCAAGTCTATATTAATTCGAAGTATAAAAGTATCAGTAAATAATCCATGGCTCTAAGAATACTATCATGAGCCTAAATAAATACATACAATAATCTCCATAAAATAATTAAGCATGTTAACAAGTCTACATGCCAACATCAAATCTAAACATAATATAAAATCATCAGCTGCATCATCAACTACTCCAATGCGGGGGCCTTGCCCCTAGAAGCATCACCACTACTCTGGGTACCTGAAATGATGTCCCCAAACGGGGTAAGATAACAACATCTCAGTAAGCTCAAGGTTCATAGAGGATCCTCTAACCCCTGAGCCCACTTCCTGCATAACAAGTCAGATATAAAGCATATAATACAGACATACAGCATAAACATAGCATCATCATATCATCCTTGTGTAACCCTAGGGTCAAAGCCATAGACGGTTACACATGTGTGACTTCCAGGGTCAAGCCATAGACAGTCAACACAACCTCAGTATGAAATAGCTCCCAGAGTCAAGTCATAGGCAGCCTACATACCATGATCACTGGCCAGGATCCTCATAACATATATCATCAGTGCATCATCATAACATCAAGATCATATAACATCTATATGAATGTGAATGAATGCACATCTACATCATACCATATACTTTCATACAATATAACCATAATGCCCACCATCATGGTGGGGCCACAAGAGAGAGGAGTCAACTAGAACTAGGAGCTTACCTTAGGGAGCTTAGCACAAGCCCACACTCCAATATAATACGTATGCTCCAACAAAATCCTCAAGTGCACGGTTCTCTAGGCACACCTAGAGTAGGAACCATTCACATCATTAATTACATATTAATTAATCAAGTCATATCCACGACTTAATCATTTAATGATTCCACTTTTCATACTCATATGCCAATAATGTGCCCATTACAAGCCTAGACCAATTATAACTTATTACATATTTTAGTGCATTATTACAAGCCACTTTAATCTTCAGTTACTTACATATCTTAGAATCACATGCAAGGCTCACTTAGATTATTTTCAACTCATCCAAGTCATATTTATGATTATTATAAGTTACTAAGGGTTCCCATAAGCCCACTTAGCTTAAATATCACTTTTACGGATTTTCCATAACTGTACATGCTTCTGTTTTCTAGTTACAGGGCGTGACTCACTTGTTATAAAATTCTCATCTTTTAGTATGTTAATCTAGACTCAATTACCTTTCCAAAAAGGTATCATATGCCTCATTTGAAGTTTCCTAGCTCCGGTTATCACCATTTGAAGTTGGACAAACAAAGCTGTTTGCCAACTCCGAACAGGGCCCTAAACATCCTTTACCATTTCTGCGATTATGAAAATTATACTAAATAATTTGCTCTAAAATTTTTATGTAGACAACTAGACACCTTTATCTTTAATTATACATATTATGAGCCTAATTTGAGTAATAATTGAGGGAGAAAAAATTCATGGAAGTGTCAGCCATGTACAGCGCCCCTGCACATGCCTCCCTGTGCAGTCCTCACTCAAACGAACATACAGAATGGAATATATCTTCAATTGATACCAAATTTTGACACCACGTAGATAACATCTCAATAGTCAATTTGATATAAGGCACATCCCTATATGATCTCTGTGGAGGAAGATATGCTCTCCCCAATTTTGCCTAAAAACTGGTTACTTAGCCTTAAATGTGTTTACTTAACAAACCTTAATTACTTTTGATTATAAATCCTAATTCACATTAATTCTTGGATTTTTCTATTATTAAGTCACATTATGAAATATCCTTAGTCCCATTATGTCATGATACTTAAATTTTACTAATTATTTAATTAGTGTACCTAAACCTTACTTTAGTCCAATTTTAGAGTTAAATCCTTGATTACTTTTGTTAATTAATCTCTACCCTTAATTAATCACCTAATTCATCATCTCCTTAATTTTAACACAACTAAACCCTTATGTACTTTATGGGGCAGATTTGATTAGCTATATTAATTAGGATTTTTAGCCATTATTAATCATGATTAGAGAGTTTTACTTAGAGTTAACCCACCTAGTTAATCTTTCTAATCATTTTTCCACACTTAACAACTTAATAACATTTTTTTGTCATCAAACCCTATCCTTACATGATATGGCTGAAATGTTCATGGTCCATTTTTTAGTTCATAGTCATCTTTTTACATGAACATCACTCAAAGGTCCAAAGGTGGCACCTTTAGTCATCCAATCCATCATTCCATGGTTCCAAACACACACACACTTAAGAATCATCATCAAACCATGACATTACGAAATTTTAAACAACATTCTCCTCATGAACATATCAAAACCAAGGCACTCAACAAGAAAAAGGGAGGCTTTTTGGTTCATATTTCCCAAGTGGGAGCTTACATCTTCAAGGTTTCTCCTTTAGCTCAAGTCTCCACCTTTTTCCACCAAGAACACACCTTTAGGCAAGCACACACCTTCATGAACATGCTCATGAGTTAGGCTTAAGAACATAAGAAGAAAAGATGATATTTTTCATGAAAAAAATTTAAGAACACTTACCCAAAAATCAAAGGAAACAAGCAAGCAAGTGTGATTCTTCAAGAGAGCTCAAGAACACAACTCCATAGCCTTTGCTCTCCACAAAACCATGACTGTTTGGGATGATAAGGGACACGAAATTTTTGATTCACACCATGAAAATGGTATGGTTGTGAAGAGGAGAGTGAGGGGAACAATCTTTGTGAAGGAAGTTTGGTGGTTTAGAGAGATTTAGGTGAAGAAATCTTAGAGAGAAGTGAGAGAGTTTTCAAAATTTGAAACTTAGAGAGAGAAGGAGGTGAAGGGCTGCTGATCAGAAATGGAAGGGAAGGAGAGGAGGGTGCCCTTGAGGGGTGCCATGTCACTTAAGTGATATTCGTCCTTTAGTGAGACCCAGTGTAATTTTTAACTGATCCGTCGTCAAATTTTTACCCGAAAACTCTCAAGACCCTAACTTTAAGTACTTAACATTAATTTTGTCTAATTATCATGTTCATAACTTAAAAATTTGATTAGTAGGTCACAGATCCACTAACAGTTGTTTAATTGCACTGTAGTCTTTACCGGTGTTTTTAACTGTACCCGGATTTCATAATCTTCTTAACTTTAACATTTTTGGTCTAATTATGACTTGTTAGGCATATATTGGTCTTTATTTCTATTTTCTTAT